TAATAAAGTTGACTATTATGTGCCATGATATAGATTTCATAGTAGAATGAAAGGATAAAATGATTGGGATAAGAAATTGCAATTCAAGGAGCTATAGAAGTGCAGGACCAAGATTTCAGTTCAGTCATGTCCCAAAATTTTACAATCTTTCGTCACAATAAACTAGAATTCAAGGTAGAAAATGATTATTTTCTAAAATAAAGATGGTACTTAATAAACCTACATAAATGCCCATTTCTCCTCTTTGAGGTCTTTTTCCGACCCTCCAGAAGTGGGCCTTGAAGTCACAGCCAGGCTCCAGAGGACCACTGTTTCACTGGATAGCATGCCATTTCTTCTTCAAAATTAAATTATCTTCTCAGAGAATACCACATTTGGGGAATTTAGTTTACTTCTCGAGAATCCCTAACCCAATTATTTCCAATCTTCCTTAGAGATTTTCTTTCTCCATTAACTCCCATTTTATGTCTGGGAATCTTTTACTTTCACATATGCTCCCTCTCCACAATTTATTCTTTTTTTATCTTCTCTAAGTGTCAAGGAGTAGTATGTACCTAGTGCGATAGGGAGATGAAGGGGAAAGGCAGAAAAATGAGCTTCTTACCCTTTGGAAGTTTTGACCCCACATTTAGAAACAAAACAAGAAGTGGAGAATAGAGGGAGAAGGACAGCAAACAATTTTATTGGTTCCCATTTTCCTGCCAATGTGCATTAACAAAGAGGTCTAAACCTAAAAGACCTTATGCAAGACCAGATTTTCACATTACTAGCTTTGTGTGTGTGTGACATCCTGCTTTCCATTGCCAAGCTTAAGATATATGTGTCTTAAGGTCTTTCAGTTTTTATATTTGGTCTTTCAGTTTTTAGATTTGCATCTAAAAAGCTGAGCACTGGACAAAGACAGAGTGGGGTTTTTAGAAGCGGCCTTACAGAAGCAAAACAAAAACAGTTAATCTTACAGTGACAGGTCACGTAATCTATAGCATAACATAACTTGGGACCTTGCAAAGCTGGTGACCCTGTAGTTGCATTGAAAGAAAAACAAAAACTGGCTAAATACAGACATTTGTAAATAATAATGTTTAAGAAGCCTGGGGAAAGAGTAACAGTAAAAGAATCTGTCTTTCTCTTTTTTTTCCTTCAACCTTGCTCTGGAAGGGAGGGGTGTCTGGAGCCTGTTCCTTTGGCCTTGGCTATTCAGACAGCGTTATCTTATAATTGTCCTTGAAGTGAGCTTGCTAGGCAGAGGAAAACTTGTTCTCTTCTTTTAACCCTTGACTTGCCACATTTGGGCCTTAGCTTTTACTTTTCTTGGAGTGAATAAATGCAGTACTTACTTATTTTTTTAAAAAAATTTTTACCTCAGCTATGAGATTGGTCATAATCAATTTTTTTTATTATTATTATTTGAGACAGGATTTCCCTCTGCCACCCAGGCTGAAGTGCAGTGGTGCGATCTTGGCTTACTGCAGCCTCCACCTCCTGGGCTCAATTGATCCTCCTACCTCAGTCTCCCGTGTAGCTGGGACTACAGGCGTGTGCCACTGGCTAATTTTTGTATTTTTTGTAGAGATGGGGTTTGCCATGTTGCCCAGGCTGGTCTCCAACACCTGACTCAAGCATCTGCCTGCCTCTGCCTCCCAAAGTGCTAGGATTACAGGCATGTGGCCAATAATTACTTCTGAAGGTTCTAACAATACCATTTACAATGACACAAAAATGAAGGACCTAAGAATACATCTAACACATCTAGAGAGAATATTATAATATTGTTGTGAGACAGTAACAGTGACATAAATAAATAAATGGAGAGTTCACGGATTAGAAAGTCAATGTTGGAATGATATCAATCCTCCCTAACCCTCTCCCTCCCGCCCCCCGCCCCCAAAAGATCTACAGATTTAGTGCAGTCCCACTCCAAATCCAATCGTTTTCTCAGGAGAATTTGACATAGTTGATCTCTCTTTCTTGAGGCATTTTCTTCTCTGGTTTTCCTCCTACCTCACTGGCTACTCCTCATCAGTATCCTCTGCTGTCACCTCTTCTACGCAACCTCTAAAATGTGGCATGTTTCACGGTTCAGGCTTAGACCTTTTTCTATCTGTACTTCCCCTCACATTGTCCTTTCTAGTCCTCTGACTCTAAATACCACATCTATATGATGATTGGCAAATTTGTATCTCTAGTCCAGGATTCTTCATATATCCCTTGCTTTTTCAACAGTTACATTTAAATGTCAAATAGAAATCTTAACATGTCCAATATGAAACTTTTGCTTCTTGCTACCCTGTTCCCCTCCTCCAACTTGCTTTCTCAATTCTGTCAATGGACTATTTATTGCTTTGGCCCAAAATCTAGGTGTTTTCCCTCCCATTCTTCTCTTTCTCACATTCCCTACATCTAATCAATAAGAAACTTTGTTGACACTTCCTACAAAACATCTTCCAAATGTGACCACTCTCTATAGCTTCACTGTTACCATGTTAGTCCAGGCTGCCACTGCCTCTCACCTAGATTCCTAACTGGTCTCCTTGCTTCTGTTGTCTTCTCTACAGCTTGGGGGATCTGTCTCAACTAAGCCTGGTGGCAGTGAGGACCGTCAGCCCCCTCCCAGCCAGCTGTCAGCTATGCCTCCATTCTATCTGCTTCTCAGGGCTGGAATCGCTGGGCAGGTCTAGCTAATCCTTGGCCCTCCTAGGAAAAGATTCCTAAATCCTGAAGGCATTTAGCTAGGAAAGATCCAGAATGGACCAAGCTATTCCTGTTTTACCCCAAACCGGGTTGGTCTGCTTTGGGGATTACTTCTCAGGTTAGGAACTTCTGAGTGTTCTGAAACGGCCCGGACTCTTACAGAAGCTCTTGTGGTCCTACAATGAATTTAGAGGTCTCCATACCGAGCCTGGAAGGTGAGGAACGACCCCTAACGACCCACAACGACCCACCCTCCCAACCTAATGCCGGTTCTACTCCGCCTGTCCACTCTGGGGAGTTGTGCTTTGACTTGGAAGCCCTCGGATTGAAGGATGGGCCCAAGACCCTCACAGGTGAAGCCTCGATAGGTCCCAGGGAGAAGAAAGACATTCTTCCACCCCGCGATCCCCCAAAAGTCCGACCCACCCTCCTCCCCACCAGATGCATCAGATCCCTCCAGGGCCTCATTGTCAGTCCTGTAATCTTTTCATCCGTGATAGGATGGGCCGTGGACCCTCGTGGGTGAAGCTCGGCGGTTTCCGAGTCCATGTGGGTCGGCTCCTGCGGAGCCTGGAGCCTTCTTGCCTGCGGGCTTGCTGATCCCGCGGAGCCAGCCAGCTCCCTTCCTGCTTCTGACGGCGAGGGAACCAGCTGGGAGGTCCTCCGAGCTGGACGGGGAGGCGGGCGGCCGTTCGCACTCCTCACCCGCTCTCTCCCTGCCGCCGCCGCCTCTGGCCGCTCTAGCGCCAGTCCAAGAAGCTGGGACGGCTGCTGGGAACCCAGCGCCGTCCTCCCGCTTCCTATGATCTATCAGTCCTACTCTCCGCGGAGGCTAGGCCTGGCAACAGAACCAAGGCTTGGCGGCAGCTGCAACCTCCATAGACGGCCGCCAGGTGGCCCCGTACCGGGGCCCGAGAGCAGGCAGGCCCGGGGCGGGGTGGGAGCGACTCAAAGCTACGCGCCTGGGGAGGCCGCGGGCCAGCGCGTACTACGGAACTGCCATCCTGCCGCCGGATTTTCACATCTGCCGGCCCAGAGGAAACAATGACGTTGCGATTTGGGGGGACTGCCCCTTGACTCGAGCGAATCAGACACGAACGGCCGACCCCTTGCTCTCTTCCATCCGCCTGCCGCCGCTCCCACCCACCGACTCCTAGAGCTCATTTGTCGCTCCTGCAGCCTCCAGGAATGCAAATAATTTCTCACTGGGTTTTGGTGAGGGCGGAGCTGCGGAGAAGCGCGCGCCCAGCAGCTTTCGCCGCAGCTGGGTTCCCGGGCGCCGGCGGCTGCGGCCCTCAGATGGGGGCGGAGGCTGCAATATGCACAGGCGGCCACAGTGTGGCGCAAGCGCCCTGCCGTGGGACACGCTTGGAGCGCGACGCTCCAACCCATCATTTACGGGTCAAATAATCTAGAATCAAGTTGCTACGTGTGTCATACTCCTGTTTTTTCCCTAAACTTTTAGTAGAGTCATTTACATAGTTCAGTTTTTATCTCAGCTATGTTACAGAGTGGCAGGAAAATATTTTGTCTCCAAATTACAGCCCAAGTGTGAGCAGCGTATCCCGAAGCTAGTTAGTAATCAACCAGAAAATCAGGAAGGTAAAGCAAACCTCTGGAGGCAAGGTCTGGACTCTGTGATATCGCCGCTTCTACCTACTTGAAGTTTCTCCTTGCAGTGCCGCACTTGGAGATTTGGACTTAATTGTTAAGCAAAAAGAACAGTTACATTCTGCCTTCCTACAGGACAAGGGCCTAGGACTGGCAGCATTTCTGTTGTCTCTAGAAATACAGGGGTTATGAGAAAGCCTCAAAAGAGAGGGCAAGAATAATAATCTGCCATCATGAGTTACCCCCTTGTATGCCTAGAACATACATCATGAGTTACCCCCTTGTATGCCTAGGACATTCTCTTTTAGTAAAGTCAAAGAGAAAAGCCATGAACTAAGTGTCCTGAACACAGAGGCGTGAGCCCTCTCAGACTCACAGTCCCGTAGGAGTCATTTGTAAGTTCTAGTTCCTTCCTTATCGTCTGTACTATTCCCTCTTGTCTCCCTGAAATCTGCCCACTCCTGGCTGTGTGTGTATCTCTTTGTCTCCCTCTCTCTCATTCTGTCTCTTTCTCTATCTTAATCTTCTGTACATACGCACCCACTCATCTTTTTACCTTGTTCTGAGAAATGAAACACTATTTTTCAAACTATGTAATAGGATTATTATCAGGCTAGGCTTGATTTATAAGTTTTTCAAGATTTCTTTAGAGTAGGCCTCATTTAAAGTCATCTCTGATGACCAAATTTCCTAATGTATCCCAGTTGAAGTCAGTTCATTTATTTGCTTTATTTAAGAGTTATATGCCATGAGACACACAGTTCTGGTGTTGTTGAACTTTTGGATGTTTGTGTGCAGTGCTCACGGGGAGGAAGTGGGCAGGGGACGGTCCAGATCGATGGCCACCCGCTGAGCTGCTGCTGCTTGGCCTCCTCAGGCTCCTTCCGGTGCACCCCTTCCTGCAGCTGTTCTTATTCTTGTTCCTGACACTTCAGCTCTTCTTCTAAATGTCTGTCTTCTTGAAGGCTGGAAGTTACCTTCTTCTCATGAGCAGAATCCAAAGAGATTTCTAAATTCCACTTTTTCTTTCTTTTCAGTTCTTTACGTATTGTCACCCAGAGAACAGTGTTCACTAAAAACATTATTCCCACTACCAGATAGAAAAGGACATGAAACCAGACAGGAGTTGGTAACTGGAGGCCTGAAACAGAAAAAGACAAAGAGAAGAGATACTATTTAGAGACCAGAGGGGTCTGGCTGAGTTATGTTTGGAGGGGAAGGTTGACTGAGACCTGATGTGCCTGTCCTCAAGGAGGCACTGATCATTTTAGGGAGCAGGAAGGAACTGGCAGTAGCTCTAACTGGCTATATGGTATATAGATAGGGACAGGCTCCTCAGAAGAGCTTAATCGCTGGGCCCTGTCAGTGGACTTACTCCCTAGTTCCAGAAACAACTGGTATCTCTATGCCATTTAATACTTGAAATGAATTCGGGTTGAAGATTAACTTTTTTCACCCCCAAGGAGCCTTTGTTCTGGAGCTCACAATCCCTCTGCCTCAGTTACACAGAGACACTTGGGGAGGTGGTGATTTGCAGTTTACAAAATCAGTGTCTGATAAATCCACCTTGTGAGCTCCTTGAAGCAAAAACTGTGCTCAAACGTTTTTATATCCCCAGACCTATGAAAATAGATAGGAGGAACTTGATAAATTGTTGGTGAGATTGTTGGTGAGGGAGAGGGAGGCAGGGAAGCAGGAAGAGAGAGTGAGAAGGGGGGTTATGGGGTGGAGGGAAGAATGGGAGGGAGGGGAAAATAAAATAAAGAAGGGGAAGAAAAGGACAGAGGAGAAAACGAAGGAAAGAAATGGAAGATGGAAAGGCAAAGGAAAAAGAAAAAGAAAGGAAAGGAAATTTAATAAAGTTTGCAAGGAGAAGAGTGATGTTCTGAATCAAGGATGGAAAGGTCTGCTTGTGGGCTTTTCCTGAAGAGACTTACCCCTCCTCTTTGGGCCATGAAACCGTTGAACAAACCTCAGTCCCATGGGAGATAAGGGAGTCCCTTCTCCTGCACTAGTGGCTTCTGGTCATTGTCACTCACCAAGCACTTGAAGCTCCAACTCAGGGCTGCGCTTAAGGACATTTCCGTCTTCTGTGGTGGCCTCACACCAGTAAAACCCAGAGTCTTCTCTTCTAGCAGTTAGTATTTGGTATTCAGAGGACGTGTTCCTGCCTCGCAGGGTCTTGCTGCCCATGTAGAAGGAGAAGTAAAGCTGCAAACCAGGCCTCTGCAGAAGCAACTTTGTTTCACAGCTCAGGGTGACCAGATTCCCCTCCAGGAGCGGGGATGTCACAGACGCATTCAACACTGGAGCTGGAAATAGCTCTAAGGAGAAAGTTGATGGGGGACAGGGTTGCCTGTTTAGCATCCAGGTCCTTTTCACAAAAGACACATGCTTTACTCCCTTGGGAAACCTGGCCCTAGAAAATGCATCCATAAGGCATTAACCCTTCTTACTTCCAGCAGAAAGCCATTCTTGGGGTGTCCTAATAGACATAATTAGGGTTGCCAGCTTGCTCAGTCCTACCGAGGATACCTCTACACCAGTGGTCCCCAACCTTTTTGGCACTAGGGCTGGGTTTTGTGGAAGGCAATTTTTCCACAGCCGGGGGGGTGGGGTGGGGATGGTTTTGGAAGGAAACTGTTCCACCTCAGATCATCAGGCATGCGCAGTTCACAACAGGGTTCATGTTTCTATGAGAATCTAATGCCACCACTGATTGGACATGAGGAGGAGCTCAGGCTGTACTGCTGGCTCATGAGGAAGCTCATCTCCTGCTGTGCAGCCCAGTTCCTAACAGGCCACGGACCAGTAAGGGTTGGGAACCCCTGCTCTACATGATCCATCCTTCCCTGAATGGCTATGTCATCTGGTAGATAACCATGCCCTTCTGGCAGCGGTCAACTAGGAGTGGACCCTGACTCACACATTTGCCATTTCAGTGACTCATTACTTGTGTTCCTGACTTAGAAGGATAATCTGGAACAATAATTTCTTTCCCATAGGAGTGAACTTCTTTTTTTTCAGACAGAGAAAATTGCTAGTGATTGTATTAGGAAGAAAGGCTGTGAAAGGGTCAGAACAAGGCCATATGCAAACTGCTTAGCTTGCAGATGCTCAGGAAGAAGTGGCGCCACTGAGGCCGCTTTGTCCCTGAGAGGTAGATGGACAGTATAACCTGTTCCTCATGTTTTCCAGGTTTCTCTTTCTATGGAGCTTTCATGAGATTCCATGGCATTATTTTCTAACTCTCCTAGCTACCTAGAGTGAGTCTCTATTCCTTACAACTAAAATAAGATGGATGAAATGGACCACCATTATGCCCTGACACTCTGACATTAGCTCCTGTGATTATTGATGGGGCTGCGGTACACTGGAAAGAGTAATGGACTGGGACCCAGAGACCTCAGTTCTGGTTCCAGCTACTGGTCATGGTGTGGCCTTTAGTAAGGCAGTTGACTTCTCTGGAGCCCCGTTTCTTCGCTTGTAGATTAAAGTGAGGAGTTTAGATTATTTATGATGGTCCCTCAGGGGAGGGACTATTAGTTCTATGACTATTCCTATACGATACCTTTCACAGTGACAGATACTCCAGCTGATGTGTAGCGATGCTTTCCCATGCCTGAGCAGTGGTAGGCGCCGTTGTGACTTATGTTGGTTTTCAGAATGGTGAGGTTAGAATTCAGGTAGAAAAACTTAAAGGCTTTGCCATTTTGATAGTAAAGCACATTGTACACCAGCTTATCCTTCCATGCATGACACCTCAAGGCCAGAGGTTCTCCTTCTGTGAAGACTCTGTTGGACACCTGCAGTAGTAGCCAGTCTGAAAAAAGTGAACCCAAAATGTATGTATATAGTGGAGGAGGTACAAGGAGTCCCAAGCTTGGCTCTGTGGGCTTTCTGTTTTTTCTCCTTGCAACATCCAGCCTCGGAGCTCTGCTAAATCTCAGGCCTATATCCAGTTCCTCAAATATCTTTAGCTTTGGTGGAAAGAAAAGCAATCTTTACTGGCAACTGTGCGCACGGCCCTTTCTTATCTTCCCTTTCCAGATCTCAGAAGTTGATTGAAACAAAAACAGTTCATACAGCATGGTAGACAGAATTCTAAAATGATCCCAATGACCCACTCCCTTGTATAATCCCCTTGAGTGTGGGTGGAACCTATGACTTGCTTCTAGCCAACAGAATATGACAAGGGTGATGAAATGTCACTCTTGGGATTGCTACATTATGTAAGACTCTATCTTGCAGTCTGGATGGAGAAAATCTCCTGCTGAACTTGAAGAAGTAAGCTGCCATGCCAGGAGAGGACCTATGAGAGCACCACAAGTCAAGGGCCTCTAGGAGCTGAGAGTGGCCCCCTACTGACGTGCAGCAAGAAAGTAGGAACCTCAGTCCTAGAACCACAAAGAACTGAATTCTGCCAGTGACCTTGTGAGCCTAGAAGAGCTGAAAAAAGAAACACAGCAAAGTCAACACCCTGACTGCAGCCTTGGAAGACCCTCAGCAGAGCACTTAGCCAAGCTATGATGGGAGTCCTGACCCATGGAAACAGGAAGATCATAAATGTGTGGTGTTGCAAGCTGCTAAACTTGTTACACAGCAATGTAAAACAAATACACTCCAACTCTTGACAAATTTGTTAATAGGACCACACATCCTAAGACAAACACACAGAAGGGCAAACATCCAGATATAAACATCCTACTACGTTGATATGAATACTCACATATGTAAGATCAATGATACCACTAGCAAAACAAGCTCCAAGTCAATGGGTTCTTCCTTTTGACGTACACCTCTGTGCATAACCAAAAATGTTTCAACTACTTTTCTTTTCTCCAGAGGCAGTTGGTTTGGCTAAATAAAAATGGGGCTCTTAGGAGACCAAGAAGGAGAAGAGACAATAGTGCTTTTCCCCGCTCCAGAACTTATCTAAGAATGGAAGGCAAGTGTTTCTATGCCATACGTAGCATGAATTTTACAGTCATGGATACGGATATAATGCTTCCAAATATAATTAATTATCTTCCCTCCCTTATTCTCACCCACAGCCAGGAGGTGCTGAAAGACTGCACTGCCCAAACACTGCCATCTTTGCTTCATATATCCAAAAGAGTAGGAAATGGTATCACATCTCCATCAGAAACTGTCAAACACTAGTAATGGTAGAAAATATTTGAATGACACAATTAATAGGCTTGATTTTGTGGGATGCTCTCCTTTAGAAAGAAAATTCATATGCTTTCCAAACACACATGCAATGTTAGAAAAATTAAGTGTGAATTAGGCCACAAAGCAATTTTCAACAAATACTAATAAACTGATACCATATTTAACACAAATTCTAACCAAAGTGCCATAACATGAGAAATCAATAACAAAAAACCACCCTCCAAAAAACATCTAAATAATTCATGAATAAAATAATGTATAATGGAAATTTATAAATTTTTAACCTTAAATGGTAGTGGGAGTATTATATATCAAAATTCACGAGATGCAGCTTTTAGCAGACATTACTAATTTCCTACTCAGCACTCATTCCCCTATCTTCATGACTTTGGAATCAGCTATATGATTAGGACCCGGGTCCACCAACCAGCTTCATTTTCTTGGTCTTAGCAAATACTGATTAAATTGAAATGACTCAGAGTCAGTGCGCTGCAATTGAATTCCCCATGGCTGACTGTGGCAAAACATTTTAAAATAGGGCATAGACAGCACCAACCAAAAATTTTGGTGTATTGTACTGTAGTAAAATTAACAAGTCTCGTTCATTGAAAACAAACAAAACTATAATATGATAGTGAAAAGAAAAGCCACAGAGTGGGAGAAGATATTTAAGACACTTGAAAAAGGACTTCTATCCAGAATATATAAATAACTCCTATAAGTCAGTAAGAAAAAGACAGACAATAGAAAAATTGTCAAAAAGACCTTACAAAAAAGAATACCCAAATAGGTAATAAACATGTGAAAAATGGTCAATATCATAGTCATTAAGGAAATGCTTAATTTGCATTTGTATATCCAAGAGTGGGAAATTGTAACATACCTCCATCAGAAACTGTCAAACACTAGTAATGGTAGAAAATATTTGAATCATGTTTAAAAAATGTCCACAGCATTACTATTTGTAAGAAGTCAAAACCAAAAACAGCCCGAGTCCCTCAGCAGAACGGGAAAATATGAAATATATAGTAATAAGAACAAATGAACTTCAATTTATAACATGTATACAGTTCACAATCACAATGTTGAGAAAAATAAACCAGACACAAAAGAGTACATCCTGTCCCATACTGTAGCCCTTTATATGAAGTTCAAAAAGAGGCAAAAAACCTATGGCGCTGGAAGTCAGTGTCAGGGGGTGGACTAGAAATGGGCAAGAAGGAGTTTCTGAGGTGCTGGAAATGTCTAAAATAGATCGGGATGCTGTTTACTTTGCAAAAATTTACTGTGGTGTACATTTATGGCTTGCTGTACATAAGTTACATTTCAATGAAAATTCACATGAAAATGTGATGTAAAAAAGATATGATTTTCAATAAGTCACTGATGTGGGTGTCCTAGAGTCTATGTAGAGGTGAAGAAAATTGCCTCTTCCCAGCCCTAGTCGTTTTGTTGTCACTTGAATCATGAGACACTTCTGCTTGAACTGTCCAAAGTGTCTTGTTGAAACAGCTCTGTCAGAGGTTGCAGTGAACCAAGATCGCACCACTGCATTCCAGCCTGGGCGACCGAGTGAGACTCTGTCTCAAAAAAAATAAATAAATAAATAAATAAAAATAAAATAAAATAAAAGGAAACAGCTCTGTCAGCTTCCCTCACCTCTCCATCCTAAGAACTTATTTACAGAGACCTAAGGGACACACGAGAAATATCAAGCCTTCCCTCAGACATTCTCAACATTTCCTTGGCTAAAACACATTTCCTCTAACAGCAGCCATGTCTGCATAAAGGTAATTTTGCCTCTAGTGTGGATTAACTTTTGCATGATCACTTTCAAAGAAGTTTAAACTCATTACTTCTGAATAACTAAATAATACATTTGGTTATTTTGTCTTGCATATTGAATGAAGCATTTTCCCCTGAAGATTGCAGTCTCCATCTCTTGATGAATAGAAACTCCTTACAGGTTTCATTGGGTGGTGGGCTTTTCTGCTTCCATTTATTAAAATATGACAATAAGTCCCTGTCCCGATTATCTTACAGATATACTATGAAATGTGCCCCAGGAATGTATGTATAAAGCTGATTATTGCAGCAGTGCTTATAAAATCAAAAGAGTGGAAACATCTTAAAAATTTGCTAATAGGCAGAATGGTTAAATTAATTCTGCTACAGCTGTGCAGCAGACATTTTAAAGCAGATTTCTATTAAGTGATAAAAGTAAGATGTAGGACAATACTTAAAAAGTGTTCTACCAACCACAGCTTTAAAACTATGTATATGCGTGTGTATATATATAGTTTATATATAATAATGCTAATATAGATGCATAATATGTATATATATACATTGTGTGTGTGTGTGTATATATATATATATGCAGTTTTGTTTCTGTGGAAGGTGACTGCAGACCTAGGGTATTGGGTGGGAGGAAGATATTTCATTGTTCATTATTGCCCATTTGTTTGAATTACTATCATTTACTATGTGCAGGCATACATTTGGAATAATGATACAATCTTAGGGCCTAAGTCTCACTCTAGACATCCTACTTACAGCTGGCCAGCTGAGGTACTGTTGGTACATAGTTTAAGGACCCTGCTGTGATGTTTTGAGTATATTGATTTAGTTTCACCTGGTAGGTACATAGTGCTGAGACCTGCATCAGATAAACTGACACACACACATCTGGTGTCCAGAAAGGAGAGAACGCAGAGGAAGACCTTGCGGTTTCCAGCCCTCCTGGTCCAAGTCATAATTACCTCTGTGGATTTCCAGCTGTATGGGGTCACTTCGCCCTGAGGGACCTCTCTGGCACCTGTATTCACCACTGTCCTTGACACTGGCAGAGGTGATTCTGTAGCTGGGGGTCGAGGTCTGAGTGGCTGTGCCATTGAGAAACCACTGTGTGGAGCTGCTCCCAGGCAGACGGGGCACCTCACACTGTAAGGTTACGGTCTCCTCTTGGAACACGCTGACCCATGGAGGCTGCAAAGTGATCACTGCCTTTGTGGTATCTACTTGGAGGTTACAAGAGGAAAAAGAAAAAGATCAAGTGGAGTAAAGGGGAGGGCTCTGAGCGACTGGTAAGGCTTTTGTGGATAGCACAAGGGAAAAATACATATTTCGATTTACTTGAAAAATAAGCAAGTGGACACCTACAAAAGCCAGCCTTTACGAGTGTCCAATTCCTGCTGCAGAGACCTCTGTTCATGTTATGAAATCCTCATCTGGGTGTTGGGAATTTGGGGCTGCTGAGGATTAAATTACTGATGTAGGTTTTCCTGTTGGGAGCAATGAAGCAGGGTTTTAGACTTGGGCAAGCCGAGCGGAGCTGTGTTCCTTGTCCTCTGAGCTACAGTCTCTGAGAGGACAGAGCAGGGCTTCCGCAGCTTGTGCGTTGGAAACAGCTTGTTCAAACTCCTCTCTTTGAAGCTTTCAGTATTTGCCTGGCTCTTTCTGAGGAGAAAAAACCCACTCTGCTTTCTTGTAAAGGGGACTGGTTTAGGGGATGTTGGGAAACCCAGCAGATTTCTTCAGTGTTTGTGCAATTCTGGCCCTTTCCTGCTATTATGGACATATTTAGGCATTTCGTTCAGAGGGAAGAGCTCATTCAGAGAACTTTAGAAAGAAAGCTTACAAAACATGGTTTTTATGAAAATCATGCTCTGAATATGGGAGATTTTACATAATTTATGAATCTTTCTTCTTTCTCTGCTTTCCCTATATGCTCTTCTTCAGGTTAATAGGATCCAACCTTTGGAAGTAGGAAAGTGGCATAGGAGAAGAAGCTGAGTTAGAGGTCACTCACCCACTTGCCCATCAACTGGAACTGCAAGAGATCAGAGAATAAAGATATCAGTTGGTCCAGGGAAAATGATGAGGAAGAGAGACTGGGGACACAGAATTAATGTAGACTCTGAGAGATCAACTCGGATCTCTTGAGTTTCTATTTCTGTCTCTCAAAATCCAGTACTAACAGAACTGAACAAGCTACAGGTGGTTATCAATGAAACTTTACTGTGGTGTTTCCAGGCTTAATGCTACCTCAGGGTCCCCCTTCCCATCATTTTGATAAAATAAACTCTAATAAACCATGGAAGCACAGATACAAGTTGTCTCCACACTCATGAGTTCTACCCAAAGTTACCACAGGAAGACAAAACTCTTGACTCCCCACAGCCACAGCCTGTACCCTTCTAACTACCCCTCTGAGTCCAACTTACCCCAAAGGAGCAGAGCTGTCAAGAACCACATGTTGTCTCCAAGCTGGTGGGAGCAGCGAAATCTGTAACATGCAAGATATTGAAGAGGTTCTGCTGGGGCTCCAGAGCCAAATTAGAAAAGAGGAAGGAAATTGCCTTTTCTGACCGTTCCTTTTCTGGGAAATACATCTTGAATTCTGAAACATGCTTTCCCCATGCTCATACCTCTTAGCCCATCTCTCCCACTTTGAAGTTCTAATTTTTAGGTTATGAACTCTCAGAATCCAGGGAAAGGCTAAAGTTGTATTGATATTCCATTCTGATTAGTTTTTCCCTCTACCGTTTCTGTTTCTTAGGGTTAGAATATGGCAAAACCTTACTCTTGTCATGGGTTCAATGCCTGGCTAATGCCTCCAAACGATCCTTTGGATCCAGAAGTTTCTATACCAGCCTCTATGAGGCCATGGGAAAAGTCACACATCTACAAGAGCTGCCCTCACGCAAACCAGCCTCTGCTCCTCTGGGGACACAGACAGGATCAATCTCCCATTTTGGTTAAAAAAGTAAACAAACTCTCTTCCTGAAAGACCTCATAAATTTGGAGTGTTTATTTTGGCTAAATCCAAGGTGATTAAATGTTTAATGTGGATGCCATGGAGAAGAAAAATAACTCAGTAATGCCCATGGATAGGAATATCTTCAAGAAAAGAGTTTCAGAGTACCAGTGGTGAGCTCTGTGCCACCAAACTGAGGTGGCTCCTGAGACAGAGTTGTAACCCTCCAAAAAGATTTTTAGGTATTGTGGTAAGAGAGAAAGAGAACGAAACAGAAACTAGGATGAATTCAATGAGTGCAGAGAGACTGGCAATCTTATTGGCAGAGAATGAAAAATGACAAATCATGCTGTAGATTGACGTACTGGCCCCAGTTTCTCACCACTCCCTGAATCTACACTCTCTCCACAGCCTCATGAGGGTACCTCTCTGACTCTTGACTGTGGCTCATCATGCAACTTTCATTGGCCAGCGAAATGTGAATGGAAACGACATGGCACTCATTTCAAACTTAGCACTTAGGAAGCTTCTCATCCTCTTGTTCTCCTGTGACTGCTGACACAAGAACATTTTTTAGCTCGTCGGCCACAGTGCAAAACAGAGCTGTCCTAGACATTGTGGTTTGAGGCGGAACTGCCTCACCTGCCCTGCAACGGTGAGAACTTAACGCTCACCATTATATGCCACTGAGATTTGAAGATTGCTGTACGAGCAAGAGCTGACTGACACAGATGAAAAGCAAGGAAGAAAGGCCAGGAAGAACTCAGGGTGCTCTGAAGAGATGAGAGAAGTCTCAGTTTGTCAAAATTTATATTCAAAGCCTATATTTGTAACTAGTTTACTATTTTGTCTCCAAAGTTTTCCACTGTATGCATGTTCCATAATTTATTTCACCAACTTCTCTTCGTGAACAGTAGGTTATTTCTAATTTTTTGCTGTATGACCAGTAAAAAATATTGCTTACTACCATAAGTAGTCTTGTGCCTACCTTTAAACATTTGACTTATTGTTTCCTTAGGACACATTCCTAGAATCAGCAGCACTTACTCAAAGGAAATGCACATTTTTTCCTTCGGATAAGATGCTGTCAGATTGTCTATGATCATTATCCTCATCACTGCATACATTTTAGAGAGCTTATTACATGCCAGAAAAATATGCTTGATACATGTTTTCTTATTTAAACCTCACAGTAATCTATGAGTAGATGTTAGTATCTCCATTTTATAAATAATAAATCTAGTGAAAGAGGAGATCGGTAATTTGTCCAAGGATGTAAAAAGTAAAAGCAGGATTCAAAATCAGACAGTTTGATTTCCCTTACATACTGACTGGTGGAGTATAACAGTGCCTACCCCACGCCTTGCGATTTCTGCTTTGTAGTAAAATAGCTACTTCTTTGAAAAATAAGTGAAATCATTTCATTGATTAGGATAACATGAGGGAATTAGGATTGTTATATAAGAGGAATGTAAGATCTATAGCCAGGAAGGATAAAATACTTTCTTTCTAATAAGTATCTGTTGTTTCCAAATGTTGAGGAAATAGCCATTGATGTAGGTTTAAAGTCATGTAAGAACAGCTAGAAAAATGGGGCAAACATAGTAACAAATGCAGACAGAGTAGTCTTCTAGCATTTGATAGACAATGAAAATCATGATGCTCTGTTCTCACTTATAAGTGGGAGCTGAATGATGAGAAGACACGGACACATGGTGGGGGAAAAACACACACTGCGGCCAGTCGGGTGAGGTTGGGGGAAGGAGAGTGTCAGGAAGAACAGCTAATAAATGCTGGGCTTAATACCTAGGTGACGGGTTGATCTGTGCAGCAAATCACTATGGCACACGTTTATCTATGTAACAAACCTGCACATCCTGCACATGTACCTCGGAACTTAAAATAAAAATTCATGGAAAAAAATCATGATGCTCAGGACAACCATTAGGAGAATTTACATCTATATATGACATTTGTATTTCCATATATTAATACTTTTTTTTTTTTTTGAGGTGGAATCTTGCTCTGTCGCCCAGGCTGGAGTGCAGTGGCACGATCTTGGCTCACTGCAACCTCCACCCCCCAGGTTCAAGCGATTCTCCTGCCTCAGCCTCCCCAGTAGCTGGGACCACAGGTGCATGCCACCACGCCTGGCTAATTTTTATATTTTCAGTAGAGACGGGGTTTTACCATGTTGGCCAGGATGGTCTCAATCTCTTGACCTTGTGATCCCCCTGCCTCAGCCTCCCAAAGTGCTGGGATTACAGGCATGAGCCACTGTTCCTGGCCACTGATACTTTTATAATGTCATTATACTCATAGACTTCATTCTTTTAAAATCACTTTACAATTTTCTCAAAGGTAGATGCAAAATCTTATTTGCCAATTTTAAGAAAAATTGCTCTCTTCTCTACTACAGAAAATGATTTATGAACAATTATTTGATATATTTTTTAAAAGATAGGATGGACTGGATGCAGTGGCTCATGCGTGTAATCCCAACATTTTGGGAGGCCAAGGTGTGTGGATTGCTTGAGCCCAGGAATTTGAAACTGACCTGGGTAATATAGTGAGATCCCGTCTCTACTAAAAATAAAAAGAATTAGCTGGGCATGGTAGTTCATGCCTGTGGTCCCAGCTACTTGGGAGGCTGAGGCAGGAGGATTGCTTGAGTCTGGGAGGTTAAGGCTGCAGTGCACTGTGATTGTGTCACTGCACTCTAGCCTGAGTGACAGAGCAAGACCCTGTCTCAAAAGCAAACAAATAAATGCTAAGATAATTTAAATCTCATAAATAATTGACCAATAATTTATTTTATTTTCATCTCTTTATGAGTAAACAGTAATGCTTTATTTCCTACTCAATTCCTTCTCTGATGATCATGTGTTTTAGAAACTATTCAAATGTATCTGCTAAATTTTAAGTAAAGAACTGTGTATAAGTAATTGTCTATAGTACAATTTTGCTTAATATGTTTTGTATACTGTTGTAACAGCTCTCGGACAGGTGAAATATATAACTTTTATGTAGTTGCTAATGCTGGAGGTGTTTTTCAAAGATTCACATAAAGTTTACCCAATTTTTTTCTTCAACTGCCATTCATTATAAAAAGTCCCCCAGTGGTTCAATTTTAAGTTTCCATTAGGAACTCATTAATTTTTTATTCTTAGTTATTCTTACTACTCAATCTTTTATTTTCAAAAATTCTCATCTATGATTTTATAGGAATGTTTACAGTTAATTTCTGGAGATATTATAATTTATCTTTTATAAGTTGTTTCAATTTGGGATGACCTTGTCCATTTCCTCTTCCCCTGACTTCACCTTTTTGTGTTGTCATGAATATGTCTAACAAGTCCTTTGCCTATTTTCCTATGTGCCCTTGAGATTCTTTCCTAAGCTTTTAAGGGATCAACTCATTATAAATCTCAGTCTGTTTGCTTTTGCATATGCAGTTTTCATCTTTCCCCAGATAGCAAGGTCACTCCATTTTGATTTTGTTCCTGTATCACAGCAGCAAGCGGAGAAGGATGGGAAAAGGGTTAAAACATTTATGTAGCTTGTTCCTAAAAATAGCTATCATCTGAAATGGAAAAACTCTTCACGTGCACTCCTTCCCCAGCTTTTAACTGCCTGATAATGTGAGTCAGGTGCAGACACTGCAGCGCTATTCTGAAAGACTCTCATTTAATACATAAGTGTGACAGACTATAGTGGCTTGTTAGATCATAAAGTATGAAAGCTCAGGATCTTCCCTGTCCCCTAACCCAGCACCACTTTTCCTTGACCATCTTGGTGTGTCCGAAAAGCACCTTCAGAGTCATGGTGACAAGGACAGGGGGGAATTGGCTGAGATGGAGCGCTCTAGGTAGAAGAGATAGAAGCGTCAGAAAGGTACATGAGGTAAGAGGTTGGCCACAGACTCTTCCTACTTCTTTGCCCTTGTCCTGCCCCAGGGCTCTTCACTTTCTTTCAGAATTTGAAAAAGTCGACTAATATTTTATGCAAATGAAAAAATGTGTAATATATATGTGTGCATATGGTTAATGATGCAAAATAAGAAAATGAACATTTATAAACCCACAACCCAAATTAACAACTAGAATATTGTTAATGACGTGCCAGATTTCCAGTCAAGATGGAGTAGCAGAGACTGGATTTATCCTCTCACCTGAAACACAATTAAACTAAACAAAAGAACAAAATACATGAAGCAATGTTTTTTTGAAACTGTGGACATCAGGCAACAAAAGACAGTCATCTCTGAGAGATAGGGAAGAAAAAAGATGAACCCTGCAATTGCCTCACCTACTGCATTGAGAGGGTCTCCAGGCTGTGGCACAGGGAGGGGAGCTCAGGCAGATCCCAGTGGAGTTCCAGAATTGAGGAGACAGAGCTGAGTCTGGAGAGACCAAGGTGGCTAGAGAGCTCGTGGATCAAAGAAATGGAAATGAAAAAGCTGCACACAGAGAGAATTCCAGAGATCTGCTGAGGGTCCCCACCAAGTATTCAGCAGAGTAGTAATCAGTGTGTTGATCTAGAAGGAAGAGGCTGAAG